GATGCTTCCAGGCTTGGCAGCGGCGCTGGGATCGTTGTGTTCACTCCCAGGGGAACTACTTCGAGGGTGATGGATGAATTTAATACCTGAGATAAGTGTACGGGTTTTTTTTTATACGCGCAGTCTTGAAACTTTCCGATCGCACCTCGTACATTCTAAAACGTCGGTAAATTTCTACTAGAGTACATGGAAGAACAACCCAGATGAGAGCCATCTAAATTAAGAATAACTACATTTACTTCTGTCTTAATGTTATAATTAATTGAAGCAACATAAGGGTTTCCTTCCACATCCACAGGATAATACAATTAAATGTTTTTCATTGTCTGTGCATGGATTCGCATAACACCTTACAGCAATGTCTGCAAATGATCCTGCGGACAATGCCTGTTATAACACTTCCCATCAATCATAGTCACATAACAAACAAACAGAACACACAACAAAAGAATGAGTTAAACATCTTGAATGTAATTATGAAGCCGTCATCTAGCCCATTCTTAATAACCAATCGATAAGAGTTTAAAGTCAAGCTAGCTACCTTTCAATGTAATAGTTCGAATATAACAGATGCTTGTTCTGACCGACAGGATAGCTTTCTATATTTCTATAGCCTGAAGACAATAAACTATTAATCACATTCAACAAAAAACATAACCTCTACAGACACAATAAGACTTCATAAGACTTACGCTGTCTCTGTCCTCTGATTGTGTTTCTCATCCCAAATGCTTGGACAAACGATTTATCACAAGTAGTAAGGATCTTGTCTTCGACAGCTAGAACTATTTTTTTAACTGTAAAGGAAAGGCTAAAATATTTCAGTACTGTAAATTCTCCGCTTGGCCGTTTTAACAACAAATAAAAACTGTCATCATAAATTAATGTAAAATGTAAATGTAAAAGTTGTATTTAATACTGGATAAGTAACTACGACAAACTGACAGCAATGCGTCACACTTTCATTTCTGAAAAGAGAACTTACCTCTATAGGCGAATCGTATGATTCAGAAGACAAATTTTATGTAAGATTGTGAAGGTCCTTGTAGCAAACTCCAGGAAACAACATTCTCCTTTACAAGCAACGTGCAACAGAAACATAAAAAAAATATATTAAAAGTAGGAAATTTTCGGCCGGTCATTAAATGTTCCGCCTTTTATGGAACCAAAGGGGTCATCACTGTGTCAACAAGCACGTCCCATTTGACACTTTCGTGACGTAGTTGAATCAGTTCACGTTATTACGTCATATTCCTTCAAGATCAATGCGTCTTCAGACTCATCCCTTCCCCTTAGGATTTCCGAATAAAAATTTGAATGCATTTCTCATGTTCCTAATGCGAGGCACGTGTTCCGCTCTTAACAGACCAAATTTATTTCCTTTCGGAGAACTTTCTCGAGAGTCCTTGTCGTTCTTTCTCGATAATTTTGATGCCTAGTAAACAAATTGCATAACATTGTTTGATTGATTGGCGACGATGACAAATCACGAATTTTATATTAAAATAATATTGTGATTAATATTAATAAAGGTATTTTACATAAAATAATAATTATTCGTGTTTTTTCCCCCCGTCTAATCACAATTGTATATAAATAAAATTATACATAAGATATTAAAATATCATTTACATATTTGGTTGTACCAAATATGTAAATGATATTTTAATATCTTATGTATAATTTTATTTATATACAATTGTGATTAGACGGGGGAAAAAAACACGAATAATTATTATTTTATGTAAAATACCTTTATTAATATTAATCACAATATAATAATAATATGAAATACGACAGTTTTAAAATTGTTATTTTTAGATAATTTTACAACCACATGTTTTACATTAGGCATATTATAAAAATACGATATGTCGACACAAATCTGCGATGTTACAATTTGTCTTGGGTCGTAGGCCTCTCTTAACACGTTAGCTTTCATTGAGGTTACAGACGCCACAGTGCTGCCAACCTCTTCAAGCGGTGTCTTCAGCGTATTTCTTACTGTAAAGAAAGATTAAATGAAGACAGGCAATGTCTCTTGTTCGTTAAAATAACATTCGTAAAATTGTTTATCGACATTCAGTGTTTAACGCCAAGGCGTTAAGTGTTTTGGTACCAAATGGGACGCGGGCAATATAAAACATATATGACACTATTTGCAACCAGTTACAGCAGTCATTATATGCATGAAAGGCATCTGTAAATATTCCCTGAAGCTATGAGCGCTTTTAAGATATAAGGTGGCATTTTAAATTTGCATACAACACTTAAAAACCTGCACATAAAATTAACTACTGAAGAATATGAAAGTAACCAGCAGTGGGCAACAATCAGCTTTCCATATCGGCGAGTCTGAAGATGGCCTGTAGTCTGATAGAAGTTTACCGGCGTTTCAGAGGTGCTTTTTGACTCCATCTTCAGGACGATAAACTACCAAAGTACACTTTGCTACAACCCAGAGAACAGCCATCTCTGAATGTACGTGACGTTTTTCTCTGACGGAAGAACGTATATGACAACTCTCAATTGAATTTAATCTGCATGAATGTCTAATAAAACTTTATACAAGTTAGAATTGCCCGACATACGAGTATTTCGGTTCAATCCCGCTATCCATAGGGGCATTTATACGAGTCAGCGATCTTAAAATAAATAAATAAATACCACGTAGGTTATAGAGCCACGGTGGTCTAGCGGTTAGAACGCTGGCCTTGTAATCCTGGGGTCTCGGGTTCGAATTTATAACATGTGTTGGGCAAGGCCGTGGTCTAGGCAACTCGGAGTTTTCCTCCGTGGCATCCCAACAATTACTCCATTGACACACAGAAGAAGGCAATGGCAAACCACTTCTGGATCATCTGCCAAGAACGTATATGAACAGGTCCCAGTCCGAGAAAAGGATGGAAGGATCCTGTTCATACGGACCTGTCAATAATAATAATAATAACCACGTAGGTTGCATTGAAACTTTGAAATTATTATTGCTTCTTTATAAGATTCATAAGTCAGGAGCACGAAGATTGTGTTCACAACTTCACCTTTCCTTATTTCAAAGTTTAATTCTGTGCATTCCTTATAATTATTGTAGATCTTCTGGGTTCGAATCTTAAGCCCAAGAGACCGATTATTCCATACATTTTCTGGCATTCATTGATTGTAGATTGTTTTAAATAAACTGTATAACCACATTCTTCCATATCCTTCCCGATTCTTCATTCCCATCCACCTTACCATCTGACGCTTCAACTATACAGCAGACAGCGTCATAGAAATAAGTTCAGAAGGAAATTATATTAGCTGCAAACGAAGATAATTTTCTTAACCGTAACCAATCGCGGCAATTTCTTGTAATAAAATAGATCTCGTGGAGTTTATTACTACAAATATTTGAACTAATGATTATAGGACTGTTTATAAACCACGTGGTCTAGATGTCATTACCATCGTGATCTTCGAATAGACCAACTTCGAATATCATCCGCGTCCCTCATTCTCTTGCCAAACAAAATTGTCGAGAGACTGAAATCCATTAGTCCATCCGATCCGTACAAAATCCATACCAAATTTCAGCCAAGTCTGCAAAAAAAGTTTTAAATAGAGAAACAAAACTGGATTCTATTCAAATATTATACGGTAAAGTAGAATTTAATGTGTTCTGAACTGTGTTAATAATTTAAGTATATGTTTCGGTTGTTCGAAAATTAAATAATCTTATAAAGTAAGAACTTTTCCACCTTCCACGGACTAGGATCAATTGTGTTCCGACAGCATGGCCATATTTTTTAATATTATGGACTTAGAAGTATTTACGCTTTATTTCAGAACCTGTTAACAACCGTCATATCTCTGCTGAGCTTACAATGTCTGGTTTCCTCATCTACAATTGGCGGACACCGTCGCCAGGCACGCCAACTGTCTCCAACAGACGACCAGTGCAACCACTCCTTCCATAGCTTCTTGTGCAACCCAGCACCCAGACCAAGAACAACGAATCCTGAGGGAGGTTCTACCTTCCCTGTGAAGCAAGAGTCAAAATCTTCTGTTATTGTTCCTGCCCCTTCGTTCGGGATCAGAACCATAGCAGCACCACCAGCGATACAACCGGACTCTTCAAATTCACCGGAACAGACAATAGACGATCCATCGTTTGCTAACTGTGAGCAACACTCAGTTGTTGTGAAAACATCAACAACTCCGAAGAATGTACATATACTGGGCGAGAGTTCTTTTGCGAGAGAATCTAAATTATCCCCAGGACCTTACTTGCCTCCTCGTGAATCACCGTCACCTTCATCAACGTTTCTGCAGCCAATTGAAATATCTCTGCCACCTCACCTGCCAGAAAAGGAAATTGAATCAACTCCGAAACCTTTTCTTGAAACGTATCACAAACCATCAGCAACGATTTTGAGCAATGAAAACGTTCTACCCCCGTTCCAAAGTCGAAACTCCCAATCGACCACAATTTCACCTCGTCGTCCAAGTCCTAAACCCGAGAGACCACAGATCGAAGGACAGGAAGGAAGTGCTCCAGAATCAGTAATTGCTACGGATAATGAAGTTGATAGTTGCAAACATTCTTTTCACAGTTTTTTGTGCACTCCATCTTCATTTTCTAGAAGCAGGAGACCATTTAATAATTTGGGACAACCACCGTCTTCTCCATTGACAGGAGAAAGTTCTTTTGGACGTCCATCGAAGTTGTTACCTCCTGTAGCTCGGCCATCTTCTCAGGAAACTAAGATATCAGTCGCAGAGAAAACAGTTCCGATAACCGAAAGATCACGTACAACTTTGACACCTGCATTGAAATCAATAGCACCTCTAACAGATTTGAACATTTTTGCCGAAGCAGCTCAAAATCCTGTTCAATTATTGTCACTTCAAGATCAGAAACAACCGGATATTTGTAAAGACGCATTTCACAGTTTCCTTTGCCAACCAATAAATTCATCTCGAAGAAGACAAAAATATGGTGAAAGATATCAGAGTTCCAATAAACTAACACGTGACCCGTCTGTTCCTTTAAGAGCAGACAGCTCTTTCAATCAACCTTCCAAATTATTACCCATTTTGAACCAACCCCTCACTACTTTGGCACCAAGTACCTCGTTCTCTCCACACTTCACACCAGAAACTGACAGTTTATACCAGAAACCGGCGATCTCGTGTAATCACACAAAACCACCCCAGACAACGAACACACCCTTCGTGATTGTGTCTAGTACAACACCACCGATACTAGCTCCGAAACCAGAGAGTACATTCATTCAGGCTGCTAGGTTACCGTTTCCAAAAACCCAGTTCTCTACATTGCGTACAAGTGAACCACAAACCTTTGTTCGTAACGACCCAGCGGCACAGACTCCAGATGTAACTGTTCTAAGACCGAACCATGATGTTAATCACGACCATAGCCATGCCCATGATCACGGACATAATCACCATCGGATCGACATATGTAAGGATCCTTTTCACAGTTTTCTATGCACGCCTGTCATCCCGTCTAAAAGAAGACGACCTACAGGAGAACTTCCAGCAAGGTTTAGAAATGCAGCAGATCGAAATATTTTAGAGGCAGGTTCTTTCAACCAGCCCACAAAGGTCATTCCACCTGACACGAAAAGTGTGACAATTATACCACCTTCAATAATCACAAAGAGTTCATTTCCATCAAATGTACCGACCTACTCTCCCCAGGAGAATGATCATCGACTCCAATCTTCAAAAAACAGTCGTGTAAGATTACCACCACAGCCGGCAACTCAAATTCGGTCACAAAATGATGACCCTTGTAATCGTATATTTAACACTTTCTTATTCGAGAAAAATGGATCGATAAGAAATTTATCTTCAGCGGAAGCTTTGTCACTGCCTCGTTCTAACCTGGAAGGTGCAAGTTCTTTTGATAACCCCTCAAAAGTCTTACCATCATTGACCTTAAATCCTCAGGGTACTGAATATAAAAACTCAAATCAAGGCTATGAATATAATCCACCACCAAACGTACTTCAAGATCCAAGTCATTCGTTACGGGGAGAGAGTACAATCGGTCAGACATCAAAAATAGTTGTACCTGTTAGTTCAACAGGAAGGAACAATGAAAATCTATCATTTGCATCCAGGTTTAAAGAATTTCCTGGATACAGTTATCAGGAACCATCGAAAACTTTCCAGTACCCAATATCAACATTACCATCCACAACAACACGCGTTACGACAGAGGGTACTTCTGGACAAGGCACAGGGAATCATGAAATCTCACAAGGTTACAATTACCCGAAACCACCTCCAGATCAACAAATTTTACCTTCAGGGTATAATTATCCTATACCTGCACAATCGTTTCAGTATCCAGAAAGTTTACGAGAAAGCAGTTCGATTGAATCCAGGAAAACTCTTCCTTCAGTTTATTTTAATGGGCAAAATACAAAAGAAGGAGCTTATCAAACACGAAATCCTGAAGACGCTTACACCACAACTGCAGAACTGGATATTCGACCAAGGTCTTTTGAGAAAACAGATCAGAACTGTGATCACTCGTTGCCCCGAAGAGCTTACGTCGACACACAAGGGTCCTCGGCTCCATCTTCTCCGTCTGAATTTGTGAGAGGACTTTCAGGCACAGCGAGTGTCCTCGCGGCTTCCAACGAACTTCCAGACAAATGCAATCACCCATTTCTTGGATACGTGTGCAAGAGATCAAGCGATGTCAAAACTCACAAGTGAAACAGCTCAATGTATCTGTAAATACCTTGCTCTTATATCTTATAAAACACTAAATTGTTAGTAATATATTTTTTATTTCCGTCTATACACAAACTTAGTTTTTAAAATTGGTGTTATTAAAGTTAAAATTTAAAACTTAAAATTTAAACCTTAAATATTAATATTATTCCATTTATTTACCATTTTACATGGTATTTACTTCTATGTACCCGATAAAAACCCTACCCCTGAGGTACATAGTGTAGTGGCTATTTCCGTAATATATTTTGTTTCTAATATGTATTATATAGTTTCATTATGAGAGATGACTGTATATTTTACATCAGCGTCTTTCGAATGACGTATGAAGATCCTAAAATTGTGGTTTTCTGAAGTTCCCTGATGTCGTGTTCCTCCGGGATTTGGCCAAATATTTTCTGAGTGACTTAGAGAGAGTTCCAGTTGCTCTTATAATTATTGGGAACTTCTGCCTTCACTTACCACATCCATTATACTTCAATGAGAAGATCCTTGTAATTAAAGATCTTCTACTCTTCCTCCTTAATCACATTCCTGTCAGTCGGTATTGTTATGTCAATTAAGAGGCAAGTACCATTTTTGTTTCGGATTATAATATCTGCTTTGTTATTTAGAATATTTCTATCTGTTTTGACTTGTTGGTTCCACAAAATAGTTATCTGCTTATTCTCACTTATCTCAACTACCTTCGGGATGTGTTTCTTTTCTATAATTATTGTTATTGTGTTACTTGCTACGTAAAAAATAACCATACTGAATGGTATAAAACTCTTTTTCATTTAATTATGTATCGAAGGACTCTTAAAATTTCTATCGTCGAATTATTTTTTTAAAACGGAATATTCCAAAACGATGTATACACACAAGATTAATATTCCGTATCATAATTTGTACACATCTTTTTTGGGATACCATACGTAGTATGAAATTCTCTCTAGTGAATTCAAGAATTCCTTGGAGTAATAAATGTTTGTAGAAAATCTAATCAAATATAGTTGCATTGTAGCTCGCTCCATCCATCCATCTGTAATTTTTTTTTTTGAAAATGGAATGTCATATTAGCAGAATCTGTGTGATTTTTCTTAAAAAAATATTTCGACTCCAGACCGACGCCAAATTCAGACATGGTCAGACTGCTCTATAGGCGTCACCGAACATCATTTTCGTATCTTGCTACCACAGTCGCAACCATCAGATTTGAAATTATTATTTTCAACATCGCTTGTCCAGTAAACCTTGACGGACATTGGCTGTTGTATTATGTGAAGATAATTTTTTTTATAAATGTTATAAAAAAACAAATCAAATTTTAAAATTGTACATGAACTTTTATTAGTAATTAGAATTATAAAAACGGTAGTCACAATTATAATACACAGTAAACTGAGACGCTAGATTATCACACTACATTAAAGAACCAGACGTGGTCTTTTAGTCATCAAGCAATGCCGAAGCTTTGGGCCCTTTTAGTACTGAGGCTGCTGTTGGCCCTCGGATGGTCCAAAATTGTCGTAAGATTTGCCACTTCGAGCCCTGTCGTCGTCGTACTGACTCTGCTGTCCGTGGCGACCTGGAAGATGGAAATATCAACACAGACTGTGCATTGCAGTCAGTCGCAAAGCTATCAAAATGTATCATCATTCACGTATAATGAGTCCGTAATTAAACAACGTCACATAGAGGCCTAGGTAACCCTCCTGTGTACGAAGGTTACATACTTTTATTTTCGAATGTTGTGAAACCGAATTTATTTATTTTTATTTGTAGTGTTCTGTCTGACGACAGGTCCATATGAACAGGATCCTTCCATCCTTTTCTCGGACTGGGACCTGTTCATATACGTTCTTGGCAGAGATGATCAGAAGTGGTTTGCCATTGCCTTCTGCTGTGTGTGAATGGAGTAATTGTTGCGATGCCACGGAGGAAAACTCCGTGTTGCCTAGACCACGGCCTTGCCCAACACAAGTTATAAATTCGGGCACCGCCGGGAATCTAACCCGAGACCCCAGGATTACAAGGCCAGCGTTCTAACCGCTAGACCACCGTCTGTGAAACCGAATTATGGGTAGTTAATTGATATTATGAACTATGATATCTCACCCGCAAACACTGTGACTCTGCAGTTAATTCTGCTCCCTGCTATGAATGCATTAAAGGCATAAGTTTACCTTACCGTATGTAAAAAAAAACATTCGTGTTACTCCTAGGGAACATAGGAGAAGATGAGGGATAATATTAAAATGGTGTACGAAAAACAGGTATAGAAAAGAGAAAATACAAACAGTAGAATAATTTAGGATTTAAAAGAGACAACAGTCTAAATGGGCTTTTTTAAAGTGTTATAACACACCGAGAAATCTTACGGCTGTTGTGAACATGGTGATGAAATTACAGGTTTAATAAATGATTAGGCGTTTATTTGCATCTGAATCACCTAAGAATAGAAGTTTGTTCATTCTCAACGAAATTCATAATCGTTTTTAAATAAATCATTCCAGTACGTGAGCATTTAATGAGAGTTCACAAAGATACGCGTATATAATTCAGCACCGAATGAATCGAGAGTATTAAAATTGTATAGTAAATGAGTTCTTCGTTTTCAATCGGTGATGTGTAAACTCTTGTATATTTTAACTCAGGTTTAGTGAAAATTTCAGGTTTTTTAGACTGCGAGTATGAAGGTTACAAGTCTCCTGGGTTGTTACTCCATGCAGCCTGGTAGTTTACCGAAGTTTCAGGCCTCATCGCATTGTTTACCAAGGCAGTAATCAGCTTTGAATCGTCGGTAAACTTGCAGAATGCACGGAACAAAATCCCACAAGACAGCCACCTTTTTTGAGAGTCACAAAAATCTCTGGAAGGTTCTGGGTTATTGGAAATTTCTTGTGGCGACAGCATTGCAATGTGTAGCTGGATAATGCAAGATTATCAGACACAGTATGCCCTACAAATTGCAAGTTAAACCCACGGGCAATTTCGCAATCACGTTTTGAAAGTAATCTCTCTCTGAAATTATCGTCAACTGGGCGAGAAGGGTTTTGCATTGGGATGAAGAAATGGGTAAACATGATTTAGCTAGAGGAATTTTTTAAATAGGGTGTTTCCTGTTCCAGCGAAATGAAGTTCTCTGTATGACGGCAGTTGGCCAGTTTTACGTCCGATCCAACTATTAATTTTTATTGGGATATTTAATTTGAATAGGGGCTTTAAAGTGAAAAGTTCTGAAACTACGTTTGTTTCTAATAAAATTATCGTTAGGTATTTTCTGGCAACACACTCTTTTTCAACCGGTGACGATGAATTTCCAAATTTTTAGCGTTACACGAACCTGAAGCTCCAACATTGTGGATACACTGGACACGATTCTGAGACATTCACATGGAGTGTCTCGTAAATCCCTCTCAATATTATCCACCCATCTCAGACTTTAGAGTGAACATTTTGTATAAGTTTCCTTCGCCAAAATTTTATACACATTTCTTACTCCTTCTTCCTAGTCACATATCTGTCTCATCGAATTATATCAAAAATAATTGACGCCTACAAATCAAAATGTTCCTGTCTGTCTTACATCGTACATTTCTCACGCACGTAATATTTTTTAGGTAAGTATAAATATTTTCTGGGACACTGTTTTGAAAACACGTCTAATTTCCTTAATTCATACTAAGGAGCTACGTCTCTAACCCACACAAATCAACTGCAAAATACAGAAATTTGTTTTGTTTCCATAGATAATTTTTTTTTAAGTATTTTAATTTAGTTTTAAAATTTTCACGTAAACTCACCCAAACGAGACTCTGCTGAACGATAGGATTTGAACATGGCTTTTCCTCCAGGAAATTTGGACTCGTAACCATAATATTCAGGCTCCGTGTAGATCCGGAAGTTGTACTGACGTGCGTCTTCGACTCCTGGCTGTCCACCATACTGCGATCCTCCATAACTTTTTCCTTCAACACCAGGTCGGGACACGCCCGAGCCAGCACTGAAACCTTCTGGTTGCCCGAAGCCACCCTCACGACCACCTCCGAAACTACCAATACTTTGATCCTGACGTTGAATTTGACCTCGTCCCTGGCTCTGCCCCAGAGACGACCACCTCCGAAACTACCAGTACTTTGATCCTGACGTTGACCTTGACCTCGTCCCTGGCTCTGCCCCAGATCCTGTTCTTGGCCTTCAGACGAATATCCAAGAGAATTTACGAAACTGAAATTCACGCCAACCAGCAGAGAGCAGAGAAGTATCAGCTGAAACAAAATTGGAAGATAGCCGACGAATTACTTTTCTGAGGCAAAATCTGCACTAACCCTCAGTGGTTATTTTTTTCAAGCCAGTTTCTTGTAAGTTACGTCAAAAACATCGATTTTAATGTTTCAATATTTTATCGAAAATTCAGACTTCCGGTCGTCACGGTGACTATCATAAAGATGGCTGTCATCTGTCAAGTTGCGTCGTGCAGTGTTTTAATATTAATCGACGTTTCAGAGAAACTGTCTTCCCAGTTATCTACACTCACATTGCCCACATATCAATGCAGATTTCTTAAATATTCCAGACTTTTTTATGACGTTAAGAGGAAATACTTCATACAAAGAAACAACCTTAAATCAGTAATTATGAAAACAAATTTAAATGTATTAGCATAGTATTTATTTATATTTATTTAAATTTATTTATTTCATTCTTTGAACAGAGAAATTTTAATTCAATTAGTAACGCTGCTGACTTGTGTACAGAAAATACCCCTTTAAAATCTGAACCATTCCGCTTTAAAATTTCAAGTTTCTCTTCAGACATTTTAGGTTAACAGAATTCGACCATTCTCTCATATTATTCGAAGCTTATAACAACTATTCACACGAACCATGAATTATTATGTTGCACTGTCAGCCTATTGCCATGACTGTGATTCAGACAGTAATTTTCCTCAGAATCTTACGGTAAGTTCAGAAATATATAAATTCTTATATCATGTATAGTTTGCCTAAATATTAGCTTAAGACTTACACATCTTATCGTTGCCATGGCGACTGGATGGTAGCAAGAAATCAGAATCAGAATGATGCTCTGGACGAATAACCCGGTCCATTTATATTCCAGATTCATATCCTGGTCATCATCGGCCTTGACCATTCACGTTTGTCCATCTCACCGAATATTGTTAATATTCACCACTATTAATAAACATTCTTGAATAATATTCATCTAGATCTTTTTCTGTTCACCTTGACAAAAATTAAGTCCCGCGTATGAGTAATGCTAAATCAACTTGACGCAAGGTCCTAGCGTCAGTACATGATATTCTTACTCATAATGACCCAGCAAAATGTTGACCCATATGACCATAAAATATAGCATCATACTACGCATTTAAAAGCGGGATGTTTGTTCTGTGCCCAACACAACCAGTGTTTTGTTTTGTTTGCATAAGAGATACTTCACCGTACCAATGATCATTAACTACAGCTTGCTATAAAAGAAACAGGGTGATTCAGAAATTATTTAACTGATAATAAATTTCATTTTATGACTTCATAAAATGTTAGTATCAGAGTGCCCGCTGTCTTACTGTGAGGAATTATACATAAATGCATACATGCGTGAAACATCTTAGCTCTAATCTTCTGTCTGGTTTAATTACCGAGGTACAGAAAACATTTAATAGGACTCGAACCCAGGACAGACATTTTGGGGCTTTGGACTTTATTCCCGTAGTCTCTTCGCCGAAATAAATAATTTTGTTCCTCTCACCGTTCGTCTATTATGATTGGTTTCCGAGCTGAAGAATACATCTACCCGAACACCAGCTATCTGTGAACTTTGGTTGAGTTTCTCGTCTACAGAAATTATCTTCGGTGAGACCAGAACACAGGAACTCTCTCGAGGCTTTCGTTCCAGGGATAGAACATTGAAATCGGCAAAGATAAAACATATTAAACTTCGCGGCAGAGTGGTTAAGGCTATTCCATTGTGTTTGGGAGATCCTGAATTCCAACATCTACCCGAACACCAGCTATCCTGAGGTTTTAGATAACTTTCTTCATTTCTTTCATGTAAATTCTGCCTCCATCATCAGGGCGATGATGGAGGCATCAAGGTGATGGCTGAATGGCGTTTTGGACCAAGAGGTGACGCTTCTGACTTTAATGGGTAAATACTCACTTCAGATGTCGGTAAACACACGAATATCCTGACTGAAGATTATCATAGTTGAACTCGGTTTATCACGTAAAACACAGAAATAATTTCTCAAAATAGTCCACTAACCCCCAACTATCTTACTATAAACCGAGTGTATTCATTGCCTCTATGCTAACGTATCACTACAGCTCATGCAGAGTTATTTTGCAGATTGGGGCAGCTTTCATCTAGCAACCTCCCTCCCTCAGGTCCGCCAGAACACTACTTAAATCAAATTTATGAATCAATTCTGCCCCATTCTGTATTACATATGATTTATCTATCAATTCAATCGTTTTGATAATAAAATGATATTTACAATTAGCAAGTCTCACGTTTTTATATGCTATGTTTAACGTGTATACTTTTTAAAATAACCAAAACAATTGGCTCGCCTTCATACAGGGCTACCAATTGAATACTTAATACGTAAGGGAAGATTCCTTATTCAGAAAATGAAATTTCTCAGGCTCTCCAGAAATTTCCCGTCTATCATGGAACGGTACTCAGAGAGTCCAGTCGAAGATTTTAACTACTGAAAATATTTTGCTCAGAAATGTGATCTCAGTTCGAAAAGTAGCGAAACTGAGACAAGAAGACATCTCTTACATGAGCATAAAAGTGAAATGAGCTTCCTTAGGTATGTCCCAGAAATTTTAGCCATATTCCAATTTTACGATAATCCACATCGTGAAAATTCTTCTAAAACAAATCTTTATTAACCCAGAATTTGTGTTGTTCTTAAATTTAGTAAAATAACTTCTTGGAGCACGCTGATGTAGAATATTTAATCAACTCGTTATTTGAGCCTCGTTGTACGAACTTGTTTGTTAGGTGTTACGTTACATTTAACACCGAATAAATAATATGTGAGTAACAATAAATTATAGATCTCGCGTACATCCTTATATAAATGTTCTCATGGCTCTTACCAGGTGCTTAACAGTAACCATGAAAAGCGAACATTATTCATCGCACATAAAAAAATGTTTGTAATTTACATAGTTAGTAGAGTGTTGGATCATATCATAGTACAGAATTATTTGCTTAATTATTATTCCGCTTACGTATACTTATATACATATCCAGTCTATTAAATGGATTTTTGTTTTTTATTCAAGGTTCCTTGTAGTTTTGTTAGATGAGAAGGCTTATCTAATCCTAATTAAGCAGTGATTTTAAACCTGTGGGCCATATATAGATGAAAATATGTTGCTTGATATTATAATAAACATTTTGTTCATAAGGTAGTATATTTGCGTCATATTGTGAATTAGGTTAATATTTAATATTTTCCGTCAAATCACAATTTTAATAAGATAATAAAATATAAAATATTTAAAATATCATTTCACGTTTCGCATCGAATGATCGATTTACGTTCCAATTTGTAAATCGATCATTCGATGCGGAACGTGAAATGATATTTTAAATATTTTAT